TATTTTATTATTGAAATTTTTGTTTCATTTTACTTTATGTTTGTTTTATTTTTTTTAATTCTTTTAACAACTTCTGGTCAAACAGCTAAATGAATGCAATTCCATTCTACAGTATATCCTGTAATTGTGTCAGCAGTGTCTTAATGAAGGGCTCTGAAATTTCACTGACTGGATTATAGTAATTTCGTGAATGATTACTCAACCATCTCTGTATTCTCTGGATCCACATTTATCTGCACCAATGTTTTCAAAGGCTTTTAACCCTACTGGAAGGAAAGTTAAATTTAACCCAGAATCAAACCCTCTGCTAAATGGTTACAGTCTACTGCTTTTAACAAGAACCAAACAAGGTTGGTTGTGAACATGGGTGATTTATGGTATTGCTGGCATGCAGCACTGATATGTATGAAACTAGTAGGCCATCTCTGTAACCTATCATTCACACACTTATTACAGGCCTGACTGGGACTATTCAGCTGGTAAAATTAGGTGGTGGAAGAACCCAGCAACCTTGCCAACTGTGTCTGTTGAGGAGGCTGTGGAAACTGCTTTAAAAGACAGTGAAAAACCAGTTAATTCATGCAGTATTTAGCTCTTTAATACAAACAATCCTTTTTAACTGCCCAACAGAGCTCTGTGATTGTCTACACCACAGCTCCCTGCAAAGCTCCATTTCCTCCCTTCCTCAGCAAACCCTATTCACTGTGCTGGTGGCCCTTTAAACTGTACACCTCTTAGAGTGACAGTCAGTCACCCGAGTTCAGTTAAAAATCCAACCTGATTTAGTTTGGGAAAATAAGTTCCTGACATATCTGTTTCTGTACTTTTTCTTCCCTGAGTTTCCTTTCTCTACTTTTCCTTTTACCAGGAACTCTCATGGACTTTTCCAGGCCTAGGATCAGTCCAGCCGCTCTGACCAACACAGCCCCATGGCTGGATTTCTGTCCAGACCCTCTCTCTCCCGACCTCACTGCCTTCCCCAGCCCCTCACCGCCCACCCAACCCATTCAGAAGACAGTTAAAATGATACACTATAGGGAAAGTGACCTTTAGGTCATTTATGTTGTTTTGAGGGAGTAGAGAAAAATTAAAATAAATTAAAGATTCTATTGTGCTTTCACAATTTTGCAATTTTCAGAAGCAGGAAATTGGAGCAGTGAAGCTGTGATAATCTCAAGGATGATTCTGCAGCTTGAGTGTTACTCCATCTCCCCTGCATTTTTGCCCCTTTGTCTTTTGTTTCCAGGGCTTGACGGTATTTCCATATTTGTTAGAACAGTACCACCCTGTGACCTGCAGAGGCAGAGAAAACTAACTCAGTCTAGTTGCTTTTAAAATGTAAACTGTCCTATTCTCACTAGAGAGAATAAATTGAGGTTTTATAATCCACCCTGCAGTTTTCCACACCCCCCAGTGGTTGACAGCCGAGATTTTGCGCACACACACACACACACACACACACACACACACACCGCACACACGCCCCTCCACCAAAGGGACATTTAGCAGTGTCTGGGTATATTTTTGACTGTCACCATTTGGGGGTGATATTAGTATGTAGTGGCTAGAGACCAGGGTTGTTGCTTAACATTGTGCAGTTCAGGGGAGTCCACCACAACAAAGAATTAACTGGCCAAAATATCAAGTGTTGAGGTTGTAACACCTGCTGTAGACAGATGCGCACGGGCAATGGCTATCTTTATTATGATAAAAATTAAGTAATAATGTTGATCCTTACTTGACTATTTAAAACTATTTGTTTGCAAATATTTTTATATAGCTCTCCATTCACTGCCTGTTGATGTTCCCAAAGTTAGTTTAGGTAAATGCCCTCAACAATGAATATTCTCTATCAAAACAAAATTTTTCATATCACCAATATTTAAGGATTGGAACCTCTACTACACTGAAGCAAACTGATATGCACAAATCTAATTTGCCCCTCACTTTTAGGAGATTCACATAAAGTCGGCAACACCTGTTTAAGGGATATTATTTTACCATAACTTGCTTTCTCCCCTCTCAAACAGCTATTAAGATACATTCAAGTTGCCTAAGAATTTTTTTCCATTCTATAGAGGTATTTTACTTGCCTAAAATGAAATAAACACTCTTTTTAAATGATCTATAAATAAACAAGTAGTTAATCTCCTCAAGAATTTAGGCTATGACCAATTCCTTTCTTGTCACATTCTTAACTGGATCCAGGGCCAGAGTTCTTAAGAATAGACCAAGATGTTTGGCTTTCCTTTTGCCCCGTATCAGCCAGGCCCAGTCACTAGCTTTCTCAGTCACCAACCCCCCTAAAAATAACTTCTCCAGCTCAACACCTTAAGATGGGCACAGGAATAGGAGCTCACATTGTAAGCATTATCAAGAGCAGAGAGGAAAACCCAGGGTGTTAGACCAAACAAACCAATCTCACCGTGTTTCCTTTGTGCGTTAGTATGCCCGTAGACAACTGCCAGACAGACTGTGCTTTGCCGCCATCCTGTGAATCTAGTCCACAGCTCACTGACTGTGTGGCCCTTTCATCAGACAGAACAACATGTAGTCTGGCTGGTATTCTAACTTAGGAAAGAGTTCTAAGACAGGAACAACCTAGTGGCCTACTGTTGCCCAGAAAACATCTTGAGCATTTCACTAAACTCTCTATGTCAGTTTACAAATTGTTCAGAATACCCAAAAGGAGCCAGAAGTTCTATCCAGTGGAACTTTCTGCAGTGAGGAAATGCTACATATCTGCTATGTCCAGTTCAGTTGGCCTAGCTATATGTGGCTATTGAGCACTTGGAAATGTGGCTGGTGCACCTGAAGAAGTGAATTTTTTATTTTACTTAATTTTAATTGAAATAGCCCCATGTCCTTGTGGCTACTAAAATAATGCCTATCTGGGGAACACCAACTCATTATTCCACATCTTAATTATACATATCCGGATTCCTTTTTCTACTCTTCTCAATTATAAATGTAACAAAATTGAAGAATATTTAGAAAATAAGGGGAAATTGTGTTTCATACCCATAATTTCATAAGCCTAACATAATTGTTATAAATTTGGTAGATTTTCAGAGTTTTTTTTCTATGTATTTTTAGATGAGTTGGATATAGTTTATCTTATTTTATTTTTATCTATTATAACCAGCTTTTTTCACTTAACACTATGAGAGGATATATATTGGTATACTACTAAGTAATATTCGTGAACTATCAGGGCTAATGATGGCCTCTTTCTTAGATTGCAGTCCCATAGTTTATTCATGTCCTCTGTATTTGAAATGTTGGGTTGTTTTATTTGTTTGTTTGCTTGCTTGCTTGGTTTATGGCCCTCATAAAATAATGTCATAGTAAACATATGAATGCATGTTAATATTTCACCTCTTTAGAATACATTTACAAGCCAATGTTTGAATTCTCTTCAGGTAACACTTTACATGGTGAATCATTTCACTATCACAGATTCATTTTGAAAAAGCACTTTTTTTCACCATTCATATGAAAAATAGACTTCAAAGCTGCCAAAAGAAAGGCAAGACTTTTCTCTCTGCAGCACAATTACTTCAGTGAATTATGAGACAGATTATATTTCCTTCCCATATAAAGTTTGCTGATAAAATGTAACTGCATTCATGACTGATGACATAGACTCTTGCTTTGCTAATGGGGAGTAAGTTCCCAGGCATAAGTACAAGAAATAAAATATTTTACACATTCAGATAATCTAATAGAATTTCTAGAATCTATAAAGATGAGAAAATTTAAGAGGTTAAAAAAGAATCCATTTATTTTATTCCTTGCAAATATATTGTTACATCTCCAAACTATCCTTTTTATAATTTAAAGCTGTATGACTATAGTCCAAGACAACTTCCACACATCTTACGATTAGTAATTATTCTGAAGATATCAGCTTCAGACATTTTCTGTTTTTCATAGTGGTGAGATACCACATAATCTTAAGATTTCTTTTTAGATAAAGAAGTTGATGGCTCTGATTATCAAAGAGCAAAGAGATCCTACTGATAATAGATAAACTGAAGACATACTGAATATTAGAACCTAAAAAACTCAAATGTTCTCCTTATCCATAATTTGGGTTTTAGTTTCTGTTATATTTCTCTTAGCCTCTGAATGAAGATTTGTATTAGAGGGATTAAACATGGGCTGAATGGTCTTGTGCCCATTAAACATTACATTACATGTGAAGTAGCTTTGTAAACCACAAAGTACAGTGAAAATCTAATATAAGTGTTTTGAAAAGTGTTCTTTGTTATCTTATATGTGAAAAGGAGACTCTAAAATTGACCTATTGGAAAGAAACCCAAGATTTTTCTCTTTCCCTCTGGCAGAATGAATTTAATAATTTATAGTATGGATTTGTTTTTCCTTCACATACAACAGTAAAAATGTTTGGCCTGATAAAATAACTGTGTTTAGGGCTTTTATTAATGACACTATCCAGGGACATAGATCTTTTCTTTGAAAATGGAACGTAAGTCTCCAGATGGCAAATCACTGGGACTTTGTTCATAATATGAATGAAGCTGAATGAAGCACGTTGACAGAAAGTCATTTCAAAGAAATCAATAGTGTTTGTACTGGAAATGTTTGTAAAAATGCTTGGAATACGTTCAACTCTGGATGCACTTTGTGGTTTATCTGGGGAAAATATTCAAAACCTGACAGGGTTTTCTCTGCTACCCACTTACCCTTTAGCTTTCCTCTCTCAATTCTTTAAAGAATGCAAACTAATTTCAACATTAGTGTACACAATATGTCATTACGAACTTGACTCTGCTGAAAAAAATAATGGAAGTAATTCCAGGGTTGTATGAGGGCTTAACCGTTACTCATGCTACTGTGATCTGTAGTTCTGGTGAACTATGAAGAGGGGTCCATGGTTTGCTTATGCACACCTATTATGCTAAGTAAATCTCAAGTTATGAGAGTTTCCAATTTTCAGTTAATGGAATTCATAGTTTTATTTTCCTGAATTGTAGGTAGTTTTCATGAGCCTATGCAAAAGCTTTTGGGACTGTGGACTTGTAGCCCTAGATGACATTACAATAGAATTGGGAAGCTGCTGGTCTCCAGGTAAGATGGCTGTCATTTCAGTCCTCTTTGTCTTCCTCAATATGTGGCATATCCTGCTTTTCTAGGAACATATCACGTACATTTAATCTGTGGTAGTCTATCCTTTGCTTTTCTTGCCAGAAGCACCTCTCTATAGAGCTATATAGTCAATTTTGGAATTTCAAAATGATGACTTGAATGCAGTGTGTGATTTTGTACGTATGACTTGACCCCTGTATCCTCATCTGTAAGAGAGGTAGTAATACTGACCTGAATATTGGGGATGATACATATAAATTCCTTGGCAGAGGACCTGGCACAAAACAGTGCTTTAAAAACAAATATGTTCTATTTTAATTACTACTATTATTATTGTTGTCATCTTACACAAATGAAGATTTTCAAGCAATACTAATGAAATTATTATTACATAGCTATGATACTAAACACATACTTTTTAAATGGTAATAAAATAAGTATTTCCTAAGTGAATTAAATCACAGTGGAACAATGGACCAAGCATTGATGATAGTGATGAAATAAAGGTGGTGGCTCTGTGTTGAACATTTTGCCTAATGAGAAAATGGTGCATATCTCAACTCAGATCACTGGTCTATATTTACGAATTACCGCTGTATCCTAAATCATAGGATATCCATTTCTTTAACAGGCCAACTGTGGTCTGTCTCTCACACTGGAGAATAATCTCCATGTTTATTTAATTAAAAGATAATTTGTTTTTAGTCCCTTGACTTGGCAAGGCACTGTAAGGACAACACAAAGAAAAACAAGATACAAATTTCTACACTCAAGGCATAGAAAAAGGAATGAGGCTTCATTAGCTTGTTCTATATGTAAAACAAAATGAAGTAAAATAATTATCATGCAGAGATATAAAAAGCAGCCTGCTTATTACAGAAAAATGCTTAGAATTTGGATATAGGGAGGCATAGAAGTCCCAGTAAGTTGGGATGTGGCACCATTCTAATAGTAGTAATTATTATTCAAGTTATTAAAGATAGCATCCAAAGATATAAACATTTGTTTTGGGAAATGGAAGATGAGACTCCAGGTGGCAAAACACCAAGCCCTAATATTTATTTAGCTAATATTTATTGAGACTTCCTGGTCTAAACACTTTATGTACATCATCTCATTTAACCCTCACATTCCCTGAGGTAGATAATAACAATGAGGCACAGAAAAATTAAGTAACTTGCTCCACATAATTTAGGCTTCGCCTCCAGAAGCACATTTCATTCTGTCCCATTCTCCCCTCCTGCAAAGCAACTATGGAGTTGTTCAGAGGATTCCCTTCACTCATCCTGGATTTCTGAAGAAAGCTCCTACATTACACAACTTCGTTATTTCCCGTATTTCCATCAGGGCAGTTTGCCTCCAGTTTTCAGAGCTTTATAAGCTCATTCACACAAATAAATTCACAAGTCAAAAAAAGTTTCTTTCCCAAAGTATCCCAATACTTTGGGATCCTGATTTCTGATTGTACTCTGCCTCTCCGGCAGGCCCCATAGAGCCCAGACCAGCTAGAGGCCAGGCTTAGCATAGATGGGCTGCCAGTGCGGAGGCTGCCCTTCTGTGTGCACGGCCTGTGTCCAGATGGCATTCATGCATGCAGAATGGGCTGCCAGCCAGCACTGGAGTGCAGAATCCTTGGAAGTGCCCTGCAGTCACAGCACCTGCTTTTTCCTTGCAGAGAAGCTCCCACCTCCACCTGGAGAGTGTACTTTTGAACAAGATGAATGTGCCTTTACTCAGGAGAGAAGAAACCGGAGCAGCTGGCACAGGAGGAGGGGGGAAACTCCCACCTCCTACACAGGACCAAAGGGAGACCACACTACTGGGGTAGGTGAGTCACGCCACCTGGTGCTGTTTGCTAAGGAAACCTTCTAAAATAACAAGGGGTCATTTACTGGAATTCGAAGTATGCAGATTTATGTCCTGTGTCTAGAATGAGCTACCCATATGATTGTGCACACCTAGGATAGATAATCAAATATGTGCATTTAAAATCGTTCTTTCTGTTTACTACATTGCTTATTTGTCTTGCTACAAAGAGGATTTAAATGGGCTTTCCAGAGAGGCAGAACTACCCCTGGTAAGAAGCTCAGAGAGCTATTTGCTAAAGGATCTCTATGGAGAAGCCGTTATGATAGCAAATACAAAGGTGAGGTGCACAGTGCTGTCTCTCACAGCTTTCCTCAGGATGAGTCTGTGGACCAACTTCGCAGAGCACTTACAGTGTGACCTGCTGAATTGGCCAAACTTGGTAGGTGCAGTCAGAAACAGTTTTGTTTTGTTTTTTGAACACTCTCTGCAAACATACCCTCAAGGATTATTCCTTCCCTGCCCCTTAGCAGATTCCATCGGCTCCCAGTCCTGTTAAGGCATTAGAGCAGTCACATATTCATATATGTTAGAAAGTCTAATTCAAATCAAAACCTCAGTTTCTCATTCAGTTAAATCATTTCTGTTTCCCTCAACTTAGGCCTAACTCAATTCTTTCATTATCCTTGCTGTGTTTCCTCCCATGCCCCTCATCTTCGTGATCCTTTAGTCAGAGTGAGTGGAGAAGAGATGAAAAGAAAAGAACTTTTCAAATATTTGGTACTATTTCAAATCCTCCCTTGGCTGTTGAATGTCCTCTGTTCTGGCAGATATCTAAATACTGGCTCTTTGGGGAACCACTTACCATCTTATCCTATCTGGCAATGTACTTAATGTCTGATCTGATTTCCTGTGACCACGCCCTCTTCCTTAGCACTTGCTCTGCAGAGGTACAACCCGCATAGATTTTCTGCCTGGGTACCTGTCTCGCCTGCAGGTTTCATCCCCAGGCAAGTTCACTCTGGATTCAGTGAGACCGAATAATGACATCGGAACATTTTTGGGGTGAAAAGGGTCTTATACCAAGCTTTTTTCTCATGGCGGTAGGTCGAGAGCTAGAATCCCATTGACCTCTGTCTCTTCCTTGCCCCAGGGCTGCCTCCACCCCCAGCCTCTGCTGTCCTCTCTCCTGCTCTCTTGCTGCCTTTCCTAGGATCTGGTCTTAGCACCAGGGGAATACCAGTTTCAGCCGTAATGGCTTATTGCCAGTGGGTCTGTGCACACACCTGCACAGTAGTCTAAGTATTATGTCGTTGCACGTAGACAGCGGGCACGCCAGTCTGAAATTGGAGCCAACCCAGAAAAACTAGAGCAGATTGGAGGACAAGAGAAAAATTGGCTATAGATGTTCAAAAATGTCCCTGGGGTGAATAGATGAGGCTATAAGCCTTCACTGATGCATATAAGAACTGCTAGAGACGAGAGAGTGTGAAAGTATCTTTCTATTACAAGAAGAGTAGAGAAAGGTCAGGAATGTAGCACAGAAAGGTCAGCTTTAATGAGAGACCATTGTAATCATGTTGTTGTCTTTATGTACATTTTTCTGGAAAGAGAGTTGATAGTTTTTCTTCCATTTCTCAAGAAGGCTAGCAATGAAAGATCTCAGAAGAGATGCTCTAACAGAGGGCTGTGCTGTGGTGGACTATCATGGGGGAATTTTCTAGGTAACGGGCCATGGAATGTCTTGAACATGGGAGAGAGGGCAAAGCAAACATAGTAAGCAGTTGAAGAGGGTCCCCAGGCCAGGATTCTAACAGACCCATGAACTTTGGAGTCACACCCCACTCACTGTAGACGAGACCTTGAGAAAGTTAATTAAATTTTCAAAGTTTCAGTTGTGTCATCCAGGAGATGAGAATAATTATAGCTATTTACCTACTACATAGGCTGGTTGAGTTTAAATATTGAGGGCTTTTGGATTAGACTGCCTGAGTCCCACTTTTGAACTTGTCTAAATCTCATTTTCCTTGTCTGGATATTAGGAATAATTAATACCTACCTCATAGATGGTGGTGACATTTAAATGAGACAATATATAAAACATACTTAGGATGGGACCTGGTATACAATAAATACTCAATTAATCCTCTATTATTCATCTGTTCCTTCATTCAACAAATATTTATTGACTATTGTGTGCCAGATACTGTTTAGGTACTTGGGAAACACAGACGAACGAAACAGACAGAATAATCATTTGCCTTCTAAATGATAAACACTGCACTTAACTATAACTTATGTAGTATGTTAAAAAGTGATTACTGCTGTAGAAAAAAATAGAGTGGGCCAAGGGAGCTTGGGAACTGGGAGGAGGAGGTGGGTGGAGTTAACCAATCTAGATGGGAGAGTCACAGTAGAATTTACTGAGGACGTTACCTTGAAAGAGTTGAGCTGGTCTCCAGGTATGTATTGGGGAGGTAGTGTTCCAAGCAGAGGGAGCAGCCAGTGCAAAGCCCTTTCCATGGAAGCATGCTCAGTGTGTCTAGGAACAGCAAGGAGGCTGGGTTAGCTACGCCGAGAGAGCTAGGGAGGAAATACTAAGAAATGAGATGGGAGCACTTAGGGTGGGCCAGACCCTGGAGGACCTGGTCAGTCATCACAAGGACTTTAGGTTTTACCTTCCCTGGAACGGCAGGACACTGAAGAGTGTCGAGCTTAGGGAAGAAATGATCTGACCTGGCTCTAAGAGGATCATTCTGGCTACTCTGTTGAGAAAAAACGAGTGATAAAATTGGAGTGAGAGTGAAATCAGAGAGCCCAGTTGCGGGGGTTAAGGCAAGTAATCTGGGTGACCTGTGGTGGTGGACTTACCAATGACAGTGCATCAGACCAGGGTAGTAGCAGTGGAGGTGGTGAGAAGTGGCCACATTCTGGATATATTTTTTAAGTGGAGTCAAAAGAACTTTTTGATGGACTGGATATGGGTGTAAGAGAAAGAGAGGAGTCAAGGCTGATTTCAGTGATTTTGATCTGAACTGCTTGAGCATGGAATTGTCAACAATTGAAGATAAAAGATTGAGTGGATAGATTTGTTAGGAAGATCAGGAGCTCAGTTTTATGTTAGATTTGATACTTAATAGATACTCAAGTGATGGTGTCTAGTAGGCAGTCTGGAGTTCAGGAAGGAATTTACTGAAAAAAATTCAGAATTTTCTATATTGTGTACCAGAATTCTGATGGTTCTATAGCTAGAAGTGCACAGGTGTCAGTTTTATTCTGAGGCTTCTCTGCTTGGTTTACAGATGATCTCCTCTCAGTGCGTCACCACATGCTTGTCCCGTGACCATGATGTCCGTGTCCTAATCTCTTCTTTTAAAGACACCAGTCATATTGAATTAAAGCCTACACTAACAACCCCATTTTAACTTAACTACAACCTTATAGGCCCTGTCTCTAAACAGTCACACTGTGAAGTGCTGGGGCTGGGGCTTTAATGTCTGAATGTGTAAGGACACAATTCAGAGCTGGTGTAGTGTGCTGAACTTTGAAGAATCAGGGTAAACTCCTATGACATAAAATGGAGTTTTAATAAAATGACCATCTAACCTTTGTCCTGCTTGTCGCATCTTTACGCCAAAATAATTTGCACTTGTTTAACTTGAAGACCACCTTCTACGTACTTCCCCTATACACAAAATCTGCGAAAATCTAACAAAAGCATATTGGTAGATAATTCAATTACTCATAATTTTCCTCCTTTATTTGCATGTTTTCTTGTTTATAGGGGCCCATATTAGGTTGACTTGGTGTGGCTTTGTTTAAAGAAAATGATGCATTATGTTTGCTTTGTATCATGAAAACTTTGAAGGATGTTTCATCTGGCTTGGGTGAAACTATTAGCTAAATTGTAATGCAAAAACTTCTTAGTGAGCCCAGTATTTATTTCAAGCAAATACTAATACTCTAAATGAACTCAGTATTAGTTTAGAACTGGGATTATAATCCAGGACTCCTCAATACCCATCCATGGATCTACTAATACTTCTAGACACAGCTAGAAAAGTACATTCCTATTAATTTTTTAGAAGTAAAGTACTTATTGAAGAATAACTTATACATAAGTGCTATAAATTTCTAAGTATAGTTTCAGCTGCAATCCACATGTTTTAATATGTTGTGTTTTCCCTGTCATTCAGCTAAAAATCTTTTCTGATTTCCATTTTTTTTTCTTTTATGCAAGGGTTATTTACAAGCATGCTGCTTAATTTCCAAATATTTGGGAATTTTCTAGTTATCAATTTATTTATCTAGATAATCTGACTACACTCAGAACATACCCTTAATGATTTCAATCCTTTGCAATTCGTTGAGATACTTTATTACCCAACATATGGTCAACTTAGGTAAATGTTGTATATGTATTACAAAATAATGTATATTTTGTTGTTTTTGTTGGATGAAATGGTCTATATATATTGACTGAACCAAGTCTATAATTATGGTCATATTTTTACAGATTTTTTTTATCAGTTCAATTAAGAGACGTAGTTTCCCATTATGATTGTGAATTTATTTTTCCTTCCATAGATTCTTGTTTATATATATTTTGAAACTATGTTACTAGGAATATATACAAATTTATAATTGATACATGGTAAATAAGCCATTTTATCATTATGAAATATCCCCTTTTATCTTTAGTAATGCTTCTTCAAGTTTACTTTGCCTGACATTAGTATTGCTGCACCAGCTCTATGTTGATTAGTTATTTGTTTCTTTCTCCGTCCTTTTACTTTCAAATTTCCTGTGTCCTTATTTTTTAAAGTATGGCTCTTATATATGGCAATAGTTGAGTTTTTTGCTTATCCATTCCCACAATGTTGTCTTTTAATTGGTTATTTGGATCATTAATATTTAATGTAGTTACTGCCCTATTTAGATTTGTATCTACTTTTGTATTATTTTAATTTCTCCTCTATTAGCTTATTTTTTACTTTCTTTTACTAGTCTTATACTTTTAAC